TTAAAATTAAAATTTGGGCTAAGAATTTTAGTTTAATAAGACTCCTTCAACTGCAATTTAATTATTGTCAAGCGTGATTAAAAGTGTACTCAAATGAGTAGAGTAATTTTCTCTATCATAGTTTTAAAATACTCCAAAAATCTATGATTTGATGTAAGAATATAAAATATCATCACAGTAAATGTCATAAGTATAACTACTATACTCCCATTAATTAACATTACTGTCATAATCTCTTAATAGAGTTATATGAGAATATTTTGTAAAAGTGGTAAGATGATTTTCATAATTCATGCATATACAAATATCATTCTTATTAAAGGTTTCAGTGAAATTGAATAAAGATATCTTTGCAATGTAATTATTTTATGAAGCAGGAAAGCGAGAACTAGAAAAACTGAATCCATGCTCTATATCATATTCTCTAATACCTATTCTAAATACGTTATACTTCCCATCATTTAATAAAGGTTGAGCCCAATAAAATGATCAGGGTTCATTAACTTCAGCAAAGAATACTAAATGATTGTAGTAATATTCTTTCCCTTCAATTTTCCTTGCTGAGAGCCGTCTAAGTGCGTACCAATCAGGACTGAATACCTAAGCAAAATAAACGGCATCATTTTGAAGTACCATAAAATTTATTCAGCCATCAGTTTTTATAACACTGATTGGAATAATCTAAGAAGGCTCCCTTGTACCATCAATATCTATTTTATATTAAAAATTATAATAATGGAGCCTATTAAATATCTCTAAACCACTCAATCGGTCACCTCCAAAAATAGCAATTTTCCCATCATATGTAAATACCATATCATATATTTCATTTGATAACCAATTTTAGATTTGCAAAGAATATTGTTCTCTACCCCCTGTTGAAAGAACAAGCACATACAGTTCTTAGTTTGTTGAAACAGAAAAGAAATAAGCATAATTTGCCCTCTTATCATATTTGGAAAAGATTAGTGTTTTTTATGCTTCAACATTATTGTATATTTATGGAAACCTGCTATAGCAAACTTATGCCAATATTTGATTAATAGTGAGAATATAAAATGCTGTAAAAATGAACATGTGACATTTTATTCATTTTATTGGCATATTTAAAATGTCAAGAAAGCATTTGCTATTTGATAGTATCGACATTAAGATTAAATTATAAAATATTTTGGTTTAATTAAAAATTGTTCTGGAATGCAATATTCAATTAAAATAACTTCATTACTATCCAATGCATCAGTGATTCAATATATGCGGGGTTTTGGGGTTTTGGGG